TAGATATTAGAATAATACTTTTTAAGTTCTTTTACACGAATTGCCATATTCTTAATAGTGATGCAATTTACACACTTTTTTTTAAGTTCTGCTCTGGCTCTTTTTCTATAATGAAGATATTGCACTGGGATTTGTGAACTGATAGAGGGATGGTAATAGTCTTTCCATTACATGTAGCTTTAAATTCTCCTTTTATTTAAGGCTCCTATCCAGCCTGATATTGCCATTGAGTATCAAGAATTATTAAAGATTTAGCATTTCTATTACAATTCTTTTCTGCAAGCACAATAGAAAATTCATCTATGATAGTAGCTGTATTTTCTCCTAAACTAATTATTATGAGGACATAATCCATAATACTGATAAATATTGATTGACTTGCAACTCCATTAAGCCTATAAATTTTTTTCCTATTAATTTTAATACCTAAAAGCTCTTTGACAAATTCAGCAATATTATCTGAAAATATAGAAGAATCTGAATCTGTATCAATTATTGCACATGGTATTACCAAATCTTCTATTTTACAATAAATAGTAGCAATATCGTCGGCATCCTTTATTTGTAAAAAATTTATTTCTAAAGGCTTGAACCAATATATTTGGCTATATTTTTTTTAACTAAATGACATTACGCATATGCCTTAATAGCATAATTCAAAGTATGCCTGCTTCCTGAATAGTTATTATTTGGCAATATTTATATTTTCATAATATTATTTGTCATTCTTTCAGCTTAATGTAATCCCTTAAGGACCTGCTCTTCCTGAACGGTTTAAGAAGAAGACAGAACTTGTAAAAGAGATTTCTGTTCAGTATTTACTACTTATAATAGTAGAAGCAAGACCTCTTGTACTTTTTTTGTAACATTCTCCCATGCTAATTCTCTTCTTTTAACTATATCATTTGGTATAACAGTATTCAAGCAATGGTCTTCTAATTTGAGATATATTGTATTAATAAATTTCGAAATTTCTATAAGAATCTCTTTAGGGCAATGAGAGACTACTGATGATATTATAGATTTTAAGGCTATTTGATACATTTGATCTGTAGCCATGCAAAGTGCCTCTTTGGTATTTTCAGCACGAGATTTGGAAGTAGGAGATTCCTTCTTGTAAGTCTTTTTTATAGGTACTGCACTTTGTATCACTTTTTTTTTATAGCATAACAGTTTCAGTCAGAAACGTTTAGGGTAAATTCGTCATCATTAACATATTTGATATCTTCTTATATTTCCTTTTTTTCGGGATTCTCTTCCTCTTCTAATATGTATTCTTCTATGTATTCTTCTTCAGGATCTTCAGTTTCTTTTACCTCATCATAATATACATAATTAACCTTTTTAGTTTGCTTAACTTCAGGACAATTAATCTTTATATGGCTAACCTTTCTACAGACTGAGCAAAGACAAACAATTTGTTTAACTGGTGCTTTTTGTACTACCTTTCTAATAACTTTCTTTGTAGCATTTGTATTTCTAACCTCTAATTCTGAGAAGGGGCTCCTTCTAACATGAGTCATTTTATGCTCTAGACTTTTACCAAAATCATCATAAATAAAATGATCTAGAATATCAATATCTGATGCTAACCCTGTATATTGCAAATCTTCTGCAAGCTGTTTCATAAAAGCAATTACTTTAAGCCCTTCATTTAATGAATCTTTTTGTGGTTGAGTGCTAACTAGAGTGGAAGTTTATATTCTTTTGCCTGCATTTTCATGCCATTTATTACGCAACTCAGTAAAAAATGCATTGACTGTAGCAAAGTTAGCAATTCTAACTCTTATTTCTAAATCAAAAGGCAAATGATTAAATAGATAAGGTATGGCATCAGCATCTTGCATTGCTTATACTAATAATTTGATTTATTTTTTATAACTATCTGGAATATCTATTTCAAAGAATTTTTTATTAATAAGAGCAAATATAGCACTTCAGTTAGTCCCTACCTAACTTCTCTATATCTTTCATGCAACCAGATTAGAAAGAGAGGTTCAATATTAATAGATGGATTACCTCTGGCATAAGGATCATTAGCAGGAACAGGTGCAAACCTTTCAGTCATCTTATTTCTCATAATATTGCTTCTTACTTGTAGATTAAACCTAGTGACAGCTAATGGATGTGCCATTTTATTTATATTTTTAAGCTTTTAATAGTACACATCTGGAGACTCTTGACCATCATAATCAGGTAACTGTGCAAGTACTAGAGAAATAGTATGCATAACATCTTGAATAGTAGTCATATTTCCTGAAGGATTGTTTTGTATATTTAAAATAATTTGCCTCAAATTTAATTCCTTAGCCTTTCGTTTTTCATATTGATCATATACTTGATCTCAATTATATTCTAATAATCCTATATCTGTTTGAGCTTATCTATAATACTTTTTTAGATTTTGCGCATGCTGTATACAAGCAGTATGTCTTTTTTTCCACTAACATTTTTCATAAACATTTTCACATATCGTATCTCTAAGATTATTGATTTCATCATCTATTTATTATTGGGCTTATCTTTCATCCCTTCATGCTTACTTCATTATCTGTACACTTCGAAGACAATCATTTCTAAAATTTGTTATATCATTCATAATCCTATTGATCTGCCTATAGGATGCATTAAGTAAACCTTATAAGTTTGCATTTTTCTGAGCATACCTTGATTATATTCTCGAATAGTTATTATTGAGATTCGTATTCTATTCAGTGTATTTCTTGGGTCAAATGATGTATCGCCATTGATATATCCTTCAATCTGAATAAAGCTGTACTAATATTTCTTAAGATATCTGGTAGTGCCATATTTTCTTGATGTTTTTCTTCAAAAGGTTTATTACTCTTATTTACTTTTTTCTCACTAGACTCGAAAAAAGGGCTATTGCAATTAAAAGACCAGCTGAAAAATTTTAAGTTAATTGTTTTTCCTGATAGTCTTAACCAAAGAAGTGCGATATCTTAAGAATTTGACTTTTAAGCTTTTCTACTATATCTTCTAGCAGAATGATTCAGTTATCTTGAGCAATTAATGCCTCCTCCTTTAAATCCAAATGATTCTGACATTTTTTGAGATTATATAAGGTAGAGCGATATTCTGCTTTTAATTTATCTAACTCATCCTCTTGTGAGATAAGATTTTTTTCAAGATATTTAATATATAACTCACATCGTTCTAGATCATTTGTGAGCTTACGAATCTTTTCCTTATTTTTTATGATAATAGTTTCCTCTTTAATTAACTTTATTCACAATTCTAAATTGCTATTTAATAAATCGAGATATGCCCGCTCAACTCCCATTGATTCCTATTATCTTAATAGATTCTGATAAGGCTTAAAATATAGATGTGTTTTCAGTTTTATGCAAAATTTATTATCAACCTTCAGACTATTAGAGAAATGCGAAAAAATTACACAAAGCCTTTCAAAAGCTGAATATAATTTTACTATAGATAAAATGCATAATTGGCTTGAAAGACAAATATTGCACTTATTACATAAATCTCATCTTAAATATATTTCACGAGTAAGTTTTAGCTCTATTACTATACCTAATGAGATACATCAGGCAGATGTTCTCTATACACGTCATGTTAAGTCTAAACAAACAATTTATCTTTTTTTCCTTAATATAAAGAATGTGGCTTCAAGATATAAATCAATTATTTCTATCAGTGTGGCCATTAAAGGACCTGCTAAAAGCATTAAGAATATAAAAAGTATTTTAACTTTGTTTACAATTGCTAAATGCTTGGAAAAAATTTATGATGATTCTGAAAACCCTCTTATCTAGCCAAAAGTATTTTTATCAGATAAGGGGTCTGAATTTAAGGGTGAATGTGAAAAACTGTTAAGAAAGTATGGTATGAAGATTCAGAAGGCTAAGTCTAAGAAAACTATGGGTATTATTAAAAGATCTAACAGAACGTTTCAAGAACGATTCTATAGTATTCTTAATGTATATGACTTATAGAATACCTTTTCTGATATAATAGAGTTAGAAAACCTACTAGGTGTTGTTGATTTAATAGTAGAAGATCTTAATAACTCTGTAATTCACTTGCTTGGTATGACTCCTGCGAAGGCAATAAAAAAGAATAGTATTTTTGCCAAACCTTTTAAACCTCAAAAAAGGCCTGTGAGGTATAACAAAGAAAGATTATCTTATGATAATTCTGTTATATATCTGCTTGATTCTAGTGAATATGAGGGAGGAAGAAGACATATAACTAATATGAATTGGTCTTCTAAGATTTATCAGATCCGCAAATCTTTAATACAAAAAAATTAGCCTGTCTTATACTGGCTAATAGATGATGATAGCAATGGCTTAGAAAGGTCTTTTGTGAGAGAGAAGCTTCAAATCGTTTCTCCTGATGTAGAGTATCTATCACAATAGGTGCTTGCAAATTAGATTTCTAATTCATGAAGTTTAAGTATTTCGTTTACTTTTTCTGTAGACCTTTTTTATACAACCTCTTCTTGGTTTGCAAATAAGAAATATAATTTATATAATTTTTCAAGACTCTGATACACTTTTTCATTATACCAATCTTTGAAATTTGTCATTCTTTCATTATAAATTTCTTTATTTAGAGCTCATTGCTTTATTACATATCTGCAATGATCATCTGAGTTTCTTTTACGTTGCATTATTTTTAAATAGTTCACATATATCAATCACATTTTATCATATTTTTTTGTACCTTAGCTATATGTTACTTTAATTATCTCAACTAATGCTGATTCGATATCTTTATAGTTAACCATTTTGTAAAAGTATTGAATGTTTGTATTAATATAACAAAATTTTTCGTTTAAAATAAAATATTTATTTCCTCTTCTTCAGTTAAGACCTTCAGGAGAAATAGTTAATATAGTATATTTTTTTATTATATAAACTTATTCTTTGATTTATAAAATCACTTCGCAGTTGTAAAATAACAAGAAGGCATGATAGGTGAATATTATTGTAATTATTTACTTATGACTAGATATGTCTATAAGTGAACTTGTCGTCGACCTGAAGGGTATTTTGAACATTGAAAAGCTAAATTTCGCTTTCCCTATAAGGTTTGTGACAAGCTGACTATCTTTGAACCCAGCCTTTGTAGAAAGCATTCTGGTACTTATTATGTAATCTAATATTTTAATAGGCTTCAGGCTAAAGCTAATACTGATGATTTAATTTAGATAAAAATTGATGAATTGCTTCTAGAGCTATCAGCGGACAAAACTGAAGAAGTAGGAGAGCAGGGTTTACAGCAGATCGAAGCACTATGGGTGACTAACACTATCGCTCTAGTCATAGATGAAGAATCAGAAGATACTGGAGTTGAAGCTCTAATTTTTGAGTTCAGTGATAAGGTTACAACCCTTTAATTTAGAATCGTTATTTCTGGTAAAATTTTTAAAGCTCAGATTTATTACTCAAATGGTAAGGATATAGGTTTTAACCTTTTTGAAGATTAGTAAAGCTAGATTATCTTGGCTGATAAGTTTTTATTTACATCTTGCTAACTGATTTTTTTTTATATTATGCTAACCATTTTTTACATCATGTTATTCTGATTTTTTTTTACACTATGATAGCCTTTTTTCACCTAAGATCTACCCACTCTCTCAACTTGATCCGCTCAGGTGTAAATTTTTTACTTTGCTAGGTGTATTTTTTTCAAAAAAGTCTAGCTAAAAGGCTTTGAAAATAAGATTGAAACGCATTTTGTTAATTATCATTCTTAAGCCTTTAGGGAAAAATAAATCAGTCTGCACACCCTCTCTGCTAGATGTAAATTTTTATTATGTCAAAATTATAATTAGAAAAACGCGTAAAGGCAAGAAAACAAATTAGTAATTTTGATAAGTAAGAGGGCTAGAGAATATTATTTGTCAGCTATCATTTTTGAAGTTCTTAGGTGAAAATAACTATAAATACTTTTCATTAGATGTAAATTTTTATTATGTCAAGATTATAATTAGAAGGTATGTGAAGGCAAGAAATAAATTAGTAATTTTATTGAGAGAAAGGACCTGGACTACATATTTTGAAAACTATTATTCTTAAGCTTTCAGGTAAAAATAATTGGTCTGCTCACCTCTTCAACTAATTAGTAATTTTAATAAGTAAGAGAAGCTGGACTATGTATTTTGATAACTATTATTCTTAAGCTTCCAGGTAAAAATAAATTGGTCTGCACGCCCTCCTTACTGCTCTTGTGATGTAACAAGAAAGATATGTTAGTTTAGTTGAGAATTTAGATCGTTCTAAAATTTTATCACGCAAAAGGTACACATGTAAAGACAAACTATATTATTAAGGAGAAAGATATCATAACCTTTCTTAAGTTTGATAAAATTTGCATCTGCATCATATGTGATCGTGACTTGTTGTTAGAGATTTTTTGTTTTCATGTTGAATCTGATGATCTTGTCAAATCAGGAAAAAATCTTTTTTATATGTAATTCTGTAGCGTCCAATGGTATTTCAGTAACTTTGATTGATTGTTGTGAAACAAATAGATGCTTTAGCACAATTTTGAGAGGTAAGAACATGTGATTTTTCAAATTAGGCAAGATGACTTTACAAAATGCGTTCCTTTCATTTTTATTAGAAAATGTTACTTTTAAGATCTTCTTTAATTGGTCCTCTGGGTGTTTGATAAGTATAATACCTAAAAATGAGTCAAACTGATCAAAAATGAGATCAGTAACATCAGAGATTTTTGCTTGAGAGGATTTTTCAGGGTAATTATCTGTCAGAAAGAATGTGAAAAAATTCGTTTTTTTAATGAAAATCACTTGAAGGCTTTTCTTATTATTCAAAAAACTTTTTGAGGCATTATTAACATTGTCGACATTTATGAGTACTTATTTGAGAGTGACAACTAGAGTTGTTTTATCTGTTAAAACTTCTTTACCCTTTCTTTTATTGAACGAAAGAGGGTTAACATCTATAATAACTGAAGTTTCTTTATTATTGTTGTTAATGAAAACACTACTTTTAGGTTCAATAGTTTGTAAAGTATTCTGTCTTTTACTTGGTTGTTGCTCTGAAGTACCAAGGCGAGAGCAAGGTTGTTGTTTTTATTAGTTTTTATTGTTCTCTTTCTTTGGTCTGCCTATATTGTAGAAAGAGTTTTTTTGTTATTTATCGTTTAATTTTTTTTTTTTTAGTTACAGTATCCAGTACATAGGAATCGTTAAACAGAGTATTAAGGTGTTACCCTTTATATCCTAAGAATCCCACAAAGTTATGACTAGATATATAATTCTAGTCAGAACCCACCCTATAATACTGGTCTGAAGATTGCCACCTAGGTCGATATCCCCAAGAGCTAGCTCTCAGAGTCCCTAGACCTCAAAATCACTGTCAAATATGGATAGAGTGATCACTTTCAGCTACAGGTATTTTTGTCAATTTTTTCCTGTGTTTACCAACATCATATCTGGATACTATTATCTTTGCCTGGTATCAGAGTATTTTACACATGATTGGGAAAACTTAGACATTGTTCATCTTATAGAACCTTAGAAAGGTAGGTGGCTGTCGTACCCATATTGTCAAATTCACCCAGGAATTAAACCTGGCCTTTACCCCTAATGACAGCTCGATTGGAGGGTATTACGGTAATACAATGCAGTCTATTATCACCTTAGCTACCCGTAAGTAGTATATAATCTACTAATTACTGGTTAATCATTTCTTTACTTGTGTAAGGACCCTGAAATTGAAGACGTAAGACAGTACTCATTACAGGCCTATCAGCGAAGGCTAAGTTTCTATCGATCTCTGGCTTCATTTACATAACCGTTTAAGTTTAAGTAATATATCATTACTGGTTTTATCCTGGTTTTCATGGTTATCTTTAGGTAAAATATCTGCTTTTACCCAACAATTTTCAATTGTTTTATTTGTAACGTTATCCCATACTTATGCAATGTATTTTTCTGCAATTTCAGTATTTAGGCATAATTAACATCGATCAACAGGTTGATTGACCAGTTTCTAATACATATTAGTATATACGCCCAAATATTCAGTTACATATGAAATTCTAATGAAAATCATCTAGTTTTATGCCTCAGCTGAAACTTGAACCTGTGGTTATTGCAGTGTAACCCACAATAGAAGCTCAGTTATTACCAACTGAACTAGAGATGCCAATCTCCCTTATTTATCGTTTAAAAAATTTTTTTTTTTTTCTTTTTTTAAGTGCGGTAGTTTTGCATAATCTTTATTAAATTCAAAGCATATAAATACAAATAAAAGAAAAATATACAAATTTAAGAAAATACAAAAATCTCTATCTAGAAACTAAATTAAGACCGACCCTACACTTTCCCAGAATCTAATTCTAACCTAAGTTAAAACTATCACTTTCCAGTAATCACACCAATGAGAAAGGGCTTGGTCACTACGACACCAAAAATTTGTCTAATGGGATCTGAAACGGACCATCTTATCAATGGTATTATGTATTATCAGAGTATGTAATTGATGCATATTTCCGTATCCTGTTGCAGAAGTATTGTTCTTTTTAGTGGTGGAATCAATGTTATTAAATTTTTCGAAGTTAATCTGACTAACGCACTGATCTGTCCAGATCTTTTGGGTATGTTCAAATATGAAGTGCATGAATGCTGAGAGAGTTGCTAACGCGAGGTCTTTCGTTCTCATGGCAACTAAAACGAGTTTGTATAAAGAATAAGGTACTAAACCTTTAATAAGGGCTATAAGATATTGTGTGTAATTGATTATTATATGCCATATCAAAAGTGCCTGTATTTCCGCAAAAATGTTATCATTCTTGATCAAATCACGGAGATAAAGTTGGGAGTCATGGATAATAGATCTCATCAGGGTCCAAGACGTAAGGCATTCCCAAATGTGATTGAATGTTTCATCGTCACTTTCACACCTGACGCACGGTCAGGTTTGGTTGAAGACATTCGGATGTCTTATTTTTAGAACTTCCATGGTGGGGAATAATTCGATTAACCTTTGGATTTTCTTTTTCTTTACAGCTGAAGCTTCGTACGAGATGCGAGCGGAGGCTATATTGTCATTTAAGCAAAACGTCGTGGCCAGCCAATATATGTTAAGATGCTGGTGCTTATTAATGATGGCCAGATGTTGGAAATTGTTGTATGTAATGGATTGTGTTATATCTTGTATGAGCAGTCGTATAGGGACTGTAACGCACATTCCTTTGTAGCTGATGTAATGTTGTTTTATGTATGTGAGGTTGAATAGTAAAGTGGAGGATTTATAACACTGCTTTGCCAATTGGTCTACTTTTTCATTGTATAAGTTGCCTGAGTGTGCTTTGACTTTATGTAGGATAATAGTTAGACACTGTTTATCTATAACTTCGAAGAGGCTAAACCAAAGTGGGTAATTTGTTATTTTTAATAAAGGTCGAATGGACGGGGAGAAACAACGGATACTTTTGAATTTGTTATATTGCTGTATAACAGCCTGAGAGTCTGTGTGAATAGTGATACGACAATACTTAGGTGCCACAAGGATAGCTGTAAAAATTGCTCCCAACTCCGCTGATGATGAAGACGAGAATGAAGTAGCAAAAGCTGAAGAGTAGAATACCATTAGGGAATTCAGGTTCGTTTGTAATCAAGCCAGTCCCATTCTAATTGAAGGAGTACCTAAACCCTTGAGAGAACCATCTGTATAAAATGTTAATTTTTAGGCTAACTCAAATTGTTGTGAAAGTGTTAATAGATTGTGAAAATGTGAACTTGAAACATAATTATAAATCAAAGATGAGGGGGTCAAGCATTGATAGTTTATTAGTGGACTGTTAGTTGAAGAATTATTGACATAGTTATATTTGTGACTTGCCATATCCCTTATAAACGGTAGTGACCAAAAACAAGTGTGATTCTTATTCTCGTAATACATCAAAACATTTATACAAATCCTGATAGGAACTGCAAAAACACAGTTGTATCGTCTGAGTTCTAATGAATTCTTTTTGAATAATGTAGGGTTATGACGCGGGCAGCCTTGGCAATGCTGTAGTGTGATCTCGTTATTGACGATATGATAAGTGCAATGTATGATATCTGCAAAGCTTTCTGATAATTTTAAAATCTGTCCAAATATTAAGTTATCGATTGTTTGATGCCATAAGGTAACATAAGAAAATTTGTTGGTGTTAATATTGTTAGGCATATACAAGAAGTTATGATTGTGTTCATGCATTATTGTTATGTCAGGAGATAATTGTTGATTCACGTCGACTCTCAGTGCTTTCTTTATCACTGGATACCAGGTTGGGATTCTACCTCTATTCGGTATTATAGGGAAGGATCGTAGGTTGTTCATACTGAGCATGTGTTTGCAGTCTTTTGTTAAGAGTTGCTCCACAAATAAAATGGACGTTTTGGCTAAAACAGATGAAAATTTCCTGTAGCTGTTTGGTATGATGGACTGTATCGAGATAGAATTACCTAATATACGCCCTTGGACGTGATCGGGTAGAACTATTTTTATGTCGAGTTTTTTTAAGTCACATAAGAGGCCCAGAATCCAATCTTTGAAGTATTTTGGGTTGTTAAAGAACCATTCTCTTAAAGGGGACGATGGTAGCCATTCTTGTATTTGTATTTGCTAGAGTTGTATGTGGGTGGTTCGGCCTAATAGACCATTATCATTTACCGCATATAGAAGTACATCGCTGAGAGTCTGTGTGTGTTTTGGTGTAGATGATTGATACCATAAAAAAATTTAGAGTAAAACAAACATGATGGGATGTCTCTTGGAAGGTAGAACTTTTTCTTGAGAAAGGATCTAAAAGGTCTAACAATGCGGTCTGAAACGTTTTCAGAAAGGTGCACAAGCTGCGTATGATATTCAACTCATGGGATGATGACTACATTGTACGTATAAATGAATTGTTTGCCTGTGAGCTTTTTGTTAGTTAATAATGTTATAGTGACTTTCACATCTTGTATAGCTTGATTGACTGTGAATGTCTTATTGCATCTCAGCGAGATCCATACACCAAGGTATCGCACTGAGTTTTTTGGTTTGACTGAGGTTATTATGTGATCGTGACCGCGCACATTAGTGGTGAGTGTCTGAGTGTCTGGCAAGTTTGTCAAAAGGTCGGATTTTTCCCAGTTAACTTATATACTGTTCAATTCATAGAAGCTGTTTGCTATATCTATTATGTTACTTAGGTCTTCCTTTGATCAAGCAATCCAAAATGTGTCATCTATATATGCCAAGACTGACGTTTTACACTGGAGGTTGTTATAAGATTCAATTTGAACATCAGGTTTCCACTTGACTGACATGTTATATCCTAAGTCTGATGATTGTACCTTGCATAGGAGTGGATCATAATAAATATATCATAAGAGAGGCAAAATGATTTTTTCTTGATCAATACCTGAGAATACTTTATATGTGTCTGTATTACCAAAGGCTGTAAAAACTTGATTTTCCCAAGGAACAAACATGTTGAGTATGAAGAATATAAATTCTTTGGATAGCTTGAGTCTTTCCAAAGCTCTGACTAACATAAATACGTTAACTCGATCATAAGCTTTGGATATGTCTTGTAAGAGGATCCACAACTCTTTTTTATTGGTAAATGTGTCATGTTTAATGTTATTGAAAATATGTAATAGTTCGAAGGTTGAACGAAATGGTAGACCTACGAAGTTGTGTCCTTTTAATATGCTATGTTGAACAAAGATTGTTGAAAGACGTCTGTTGATCAGTTTGATTAAAGCTTTCCTTGAGCATTCTAGGAGCGTGATAGGCTGAATGTTATTTAGGTCATATTCCCATAGTTTCAGTTTGGGGATTGGATATATGTATGCTAAATTCCACCTACTTGGTAGCGATGAGATTTTTAAACAGCCACAAATAATGTGCCAAAACAGTTTTTTGGCAAGTGGGCTGAGGTGCTTTAACATTTCATTGTGGATCTTTGAGGGACCTGATGCTTTACCATCAGCTAAGGAATTTATAATATTGTACCATTCATCTGCTGTGGGAGGTAATATTAAGGACCTATATATATTGGGATTGATATTGGAAATCGGATTATAAATTGAGCGCTATTCCTCTGGTATCTCTTTGTTTTCATGGGTGGTGCCCGCTGCCTTCTGAAAATGTTCATTTACATTGAGTTTAACTTCACTTTCGTTCGTAAGCAAATCTTTGGAATTTCTTGATAGACAGCGGTCAAGTATTATGGTTCTTCTTGATCGATTTAGGGTAGAATCTAACATTTTACTGGGTTGTATAGCGTAGTTTTCAAGTCATTGGTTGAGTGCTTGTTGAATTGCTTGAAGTTTGTATTCCTTCTCGTGAAGTTTAGTTTTACAATGAACTACATTAATTAATAAATTAGTATCAGAGAACAAAAGGTCAATAAAACTGAATGGATAGTCTGGGGTAAGGTGAGCGGTAACGAAGTTCAGTGAGTACGCAATATTAATGTAAACATCATAAGAATGAGACCAAGAAATCAGAAAAATTGCCACATTTTTTATTGATCATAACGACTTGTTGAATTTGTGAAGTTCTTTAAGTTGTACATATAGTTTGGACAATCTAGGGGGTCGTGGATATTTAAATTGTCCTGTTGATTTCTGAATGGGAATTGTTGATTCAGCAGCTTTAATCAGTAGGTTCTGAAATTGATCCCACTGTTTGTTAAACAATGTTTGCGTTCAAAAAGTATTGATGTTTACAGTTTTCAGTGAGCAGCCATTCAGGAGTGCATCAAATTTAGTTCCAAATTTGCTCCATTTATGATCATCCATTTTGTTGAAGTCAAAACTAAGTTTCGCCTTTATTTTTCGTCTGTTGAATTTAATGTTTAAGAAGTTAGCACACTTTGTTACGATTGGTAGGTGGTCTGATATATCTGAAGCTATCGGAATAGTATAACAATCCAGTATATTGACAGAGAGTTCAGTTGATTTCCATATGTAGTCAATTCTTGACGTACTTTGACTATTAGTATACGAAGGGAAATTGATTCTTGCGCAGTCATGTTTGAGAGTGAAGGCATCAAACATAGACATTCTAAGCAACGTGTCAAAATATTTAAGTGCGTTTGTTGGGTTATGTTGACGGTCCATATCGGCATTGAAATCTCCTAGTACAGCCACATGATAATCTAGGGATGAAGCTTCTTTGATCCATTTTGTAAGTATATGTTGGACTTCTTGTCTGGTTTTCAAGTCTGCAGGTGGTAAATAACAGTTAATGACACGTAATTTTTGTTTGTTAGCGAATTGCAGATCTACGTAAATCAGTCGATCTAGCTTTGTATCGTGCTTAAAAACATGATAGGCAATGTCTTTTTTTAATATGATTCCAACTCCGAAGACTGTTCTCTGTCTTGGTGTTGAACTGAAAAATGAGATGTGGGAGGGATGAGTTGGATTAAAGTTTTTTGCATATGTTTGTTTAAAGTTAGTTTCTTGAAGGCTGATGATATCTATGTCATGTGCGGAATAAAGGGAAAGGAGAAAATGTTGTTTTGCGGTATTTGTGAATGATCTGACATTGTGGGTAGCGATGGTAAGATTTGGAATATTTATTGGAAGGGTGGAGTTGTCAGTTATTGAGGATGTTGAAGCATTATTAGTATCTATAGGGATAGTAATCATGATTATTTAGTTTAAAATTGAGGAAGGCTCTTTAGAGCCTTGTTTGCAATTATGTCGTAGTTAGTGTTGAGAGTCAATATTTCTGCTATTTTTTCTGTTGGTAATAGATTGTTTTGGGCGAGGATCATGCGAAAGGTATTACACGAGTTTACCAAGTAATTTACCGTTTCTGTGAAATGCTTTAACCGTAAATTTTGGGTATCGTTAAGTTCTTTGAGGGCCTCAATAGTGCGTCTTTGTTTGTTGATAACTGAATTGGATGTATCAATAGCTGGGGTGTCATAACCATACACTATATTTGAGTCGTCCATGTTTTCATCTGAAGCTATGACCTTAATATTGAGGGTATTTTCTATAGTATCCATTCTTTTCATAACAGAACCTATGGCAATTGTAAAATCTTCGAGTTTCTGAGTTAGGTGAAAGAAGCTTTCCTTGATAAATACTTTGAAATCAGCCTCTTCGTTAGATTTTTCATGCATGAAGCTTCCAGTTTTTGTACCAGCGGCTATATCACGTGATTGCCTTGGAGTAAGCGTATTGTCGATAACATCCATATCAGGTGGGACGTCGTCAGTCCAGGAGGGGAGTAGTGTATTATTCGGACCTCTTAACGCAAAGGATCCATCTTCGTTGTTGAAAATACCAAATTTTGGCTTCGTTGAAGGTGCAGGTTTTTCTTCCTGTCTTCCTTTGATGATTCCAGCGAAAGTCACATTCGGACTGACCGCTCCTCGTCTAGGGTGAGATGGAGCCTTATAGTTATTGTATTAAGCGGGCTGGAAACATTGATATAAATTTTGTGTGTTTCTGTCATTGGGTGTTCTTCGTTTTTTATTGCAATCTCTTATTTTGTGATGAGGGGAGGAACAAATAGCGTATAGTTTCATTTTATTACTTGTCCATTCCACGTGTTTACCATTAATCGTGAGGTTATTATTACTGATTGCTGCTTCGTAGTCATCCGCCAATGCGAAGTAGAAGAAGGCATATTGTAGGTTGTTGTAGTTGGATCTAGCTTTAGAAATGATTCATGTTGTCGCGTTGGTTATTAATCCAAGTTCAGATAAGTCTTTACCTGTAGTATAACGTGAGAGGCATGTGAGTTTGGCTGAAAATTTTGATCGTTCTAGTATTTGATCTCTTGATAGGTCACACATATGGAATCGCACCATATCATTGAGGATGAAGACACCATAACCCTTTTGAAGTTCTGTGAAGATGACATCATTGTCGTAAGTAATTGTGGCTTGTTGCCATAAGTTCTTTGTTTCCATGGTGAACCTGATGATCTTTCCAAATCGGAAAAAGATTTTCTTAATTCTTACTTCCGTTGCGTCTAATGGAATCTCTGTAATTTTGATTAATTGTTGTGACACGAACAGATGTTTTGGTGTGATGTCAAGGGCAAAAACGTGCGATTTTCTAATTTAGGTAATATGATCTTACAGAACGCGTCTCTTTCGTCTTTGTCAGAAAAAGTCGTCTTGAGTATACTTTTTGATTGGTCTTCTAGGTGTTTGGCAAGGGCGACACCTGAAAAAGAATCAAATCTGCCAAACACGAGGTCTGTGACGTCAGATACTTTCGTTTAGGGGGATTTTTCAGGATAGTCATCTGTTGGGAAGAAAGCGAAAAATTTTATCTTTTTCGTGAAAATATCTTGAGGACTCTTCTTGTTGTTCAAAAAGTTTTCAGAAGCATCGTTTGCGTTGTCGACGTTCATTTCACTTTGTTTTGCAGTGACAACTATAGTTGTTTCACTTTGTAAAACTTCTTTACCCTTTCCTTTATCGAGCAGAAGAGGGTCGACGTTCATAAGTAAAGTTTCGTCATTGTTGTTACTGGTGGATATACTGCTTTCTAGTTCAACAGTTTGTAAGGTGTTTTGTTTTTTCTTTGGTTGTTGCTCTGGAGTACCAGGGTGAGAGCGAGGTTGTTGTTTTTGTTGGTTTTAATTGTTCTCTTTCTTTGGTCTTGACATGGTAGCGGAAAGAGTTTGTTTAAAAAACAATTTTTTTTTTTTTTTTTTTTTTAAAGTGCGGTAGTTTCGCATTATCTTTATTAAATTCAAAGTATATAGATACAAATAAAAGAAAAATATACAAATTTAAGAAAATACAAAAATCTCTATCTAGAAACTAAATTAAGACTGACCCTGCACTTTCCCAGAATCTAATTCTAACCTAAGCTAAAACTATCACTTTCCAGTAATCACACCAATGAGAAAGGGCTTGGCCACTACGACACCAAAAATTTGTCCAATGGGATCCAAAACGGACCATCTTATCAATGGCAGTATGTATTGTTGGAGTATGTATTTGATGCATATTTCCATATCCTGTTGCAGAAGTATTGTCCTTTTTTGTAATGGAGTCAATATTATTGGATTTTTCGAATTTAATCTGTTTATCGCACTGATCGACCCAGATCTTTTGAGTATGCTTAAATATGAAGTGCATGAATGCTGATAGAGTCGCTAATGCGAGGTCCTTCGTTTTCATAGCTACCAAGACGAGTTTATATAAAAAGTGAGGGACTAAACCTTTAATAAGGACTATAAGATACTGTGTGTAATTGACTGTTATATGCCATATTGGTAGTGCTTGTATTTCCGCAAAAATGTTATCATTTCTGATCAAATTGTGGAGATAAAGTTGAGAGTCGTGGATAATAGATCTCATTAGGGTCCATGACGTGGGGCATTCCCAAATGTGATTGAATGTTTCATCGCCACATTCACACCTGACACACAGCCAGATTTGGTTGAAGATGTTCGGGTGTTTTACTTTCAGAACTTCTATGGTAGGAAACAATTCGATTAACCTTTGGATTTTCTTTTTCTTTATAGCTGAAACTTCGTACGAGATGCAAGCGGAGGCTATGTTATCATTTAAGCAAAACGCTGTAGCCAGCCAATGAATGTTGAGATGATGGTGTTTGTTAATGTTGATCAGATTTTGGAAATTGTTGTACGTTATGGATTGTGTTATATCTTGAATGAGTGGTCGTATAGGGACTGTGACATACATTCCTTTGTAACTGATGTAATGTTATTTCATATATGTGAGGTTAAACAGTAGGGCAGAGGAGTCGTAACACTGTTTTACTAACTGGTCTACTTTCTCATTGTATAAGTCGCCTGAGTGTGCTTTGACTTTATGTAAGACAATAGATAAGCATTGTTTGTTTATCACTTCGAAGAGGCTAAACCAAAGTGGGTAATTTGTAATCTTTAATAAGGGTCTGATAGACAGAGAGAAACAACGAATGTTTTTAAATTTGTTATATTGCTGTATAACAGCCTGTGAGTCTGTGTGAATTCTGAGATGACAATTCTTAGGCGTTATAAGGATTACTGTAAAAATTGCTGTCAACTTCGCCGATGATGAAGATGGGAATGAGGTTGCAAAAGCTGAAAAGTAGGAAACCATCGGGAAATTTAGGTTCGTCTGTAGCCAAGCTAATCCCATTCTAATTGTAGGAGTGCCCAAACCCGTAAGAGAACCATTTGTATAAAATGTAAATTCTTGGGCTGACTCAAATTGTTATGAAAGAGTTAATAGATTGTGAAAATGTGAACTTGAGACATAATTGTAAATCAAAGATGAGGAGGTTGGACGTTGATAGTTTATTAGTGGACTGTTAGTTAAAGAATTATTGACATAGTTATATTTGTGACTTGCCATATCCTTTATAAATGGTAGTGATCAAAAACAAGTATGGTTTTTATTCCTGTGATACATCACAACATTTATACAACTCCCGATAGGAACTGCGAAAACACAGTTGTATTGTCTGAGTTCCAACGAATTCTTTTTGAATAATGTAGGGTTATGACGTGAACATCCTTGGCAGCGTTGTAGTATAATCTCGTTGTTGACTATATGATAAGTGCAATGTATGATGTTTGCAAAGCTTCCTGATGTTTTTAAAATCTGTCCAAATATTAAATTATCGATGTTTGGATACCACAAGGTAACATACGAAAATTTGTTGGTGATTATGTTATTATGTAAATACGAGAAGTTATGACTGTGTTCTTGCGCTATAGTTATGTCAGGAGGTAGTTGATGATTCATATCTATTCTCAGTGCTTCCTTTATAGCTAGATATTAGAAGGGGATTCTTTCTCTGTTCGGTATCAAAGAGAAAGATCGTAGGTCGTTCATACTAAGCATATATTTGCAATCCTTTGTCAGGAGTTGCTCTATGAACATGATGGACATTTTGGCTAAAACAGACGAAAATTTCCTATAATTGTTTGGTATAATAGATTGTATTGATGTAGAATCACCTAGTATGCGCCTGTGGACGTGTTCCGGTGGAACAATTTTAATATTGAGTCTTTTTAAGTCACATAATAGGCCTGGAATCCAATCTTTAAAATATTTTGGGTTTTTGA